CATCGGAGAAAACTGCAACCCCACCGATTGGATCCACTAGCATGGAGCACGCAACTTCGTCATCATCACTATCAACGAAAACTGTTCAGACATCCTCAGAACAAGCATCGTCTTCCAGCGTGGAGCAATCCTCAATGTCAACCGATGCCGAACAGACAACGATCGCAGGCACCCTTGCTACGGGAACACAATCATCACAAACCGCATCGGGAACACTCTCGACATTGGACCAAACTGCAACCCCATCGTTTGGAACCACTAGCATGGAGCACGCAACTTCGTCATCATCACTATCAACGAATGCTGCTGAAACATCGTCAGAACAAGCATCGTCTTCCAGCGTGGAGCAATCCTCAATGTCAACCGATGCCGAACAAACAACATTCGTCAGCAGCCTTCCTACGGGAATACAATCATCACAAACCGTATCAGGAACAGTCTCGTCATCGGAGAAAACTGCAACCCCACCGTTTGGATCCACTAGCATGGAGCACGCAACTTCCTCATCATCAATATCAACGGAAGCTACTGAAACATCGTCAGAACCAGCATCGTCTTCCAGCGTGGAGCAATCCTCAATGTCAACCGACGCCGAACAAACAACATTCGCCAGCACCCTTCCTACGGGAACACAATCATCACAAACCGTATCGGGAACACTCTCGACATTGGAGCAATCTACTGCCACGTTGCCAATATCCACCGGCACGAAGCAAGTATCATCCTCGCCGTCAAAGTCAGCACAAGAGGACGTAACACGTTTTGAAGCAACATCGTCCACCAGCACGGAGGGGTCAAGAACTCCAACAGATGCGGAACAAACAACGTTTGCTGCCACCCTTGCTACGGGAACACAATCATCACAAACCGCATCGGGAACACTCTCGACATTGGACCAAACTGCAACCCCTTCATTATTCTCCACTGATGTGGCGGAAATAACATCAGTACCGGCATCATCTATCACCACCGTAGAGGAATCCTCTACCTCTACCAACGCGGAACAAGCAACACACTCATCGACCTTACCTATCGCCACACTATCATCACCGACCGTATCAACTGCATTCACGAAATTGGGTCAAACTACTTCCCCACTGTCATGGTACACTATCACGGAGGAAGCAACATCTACATCATCATTTTCCTCAGGTATGAAGGAAATGACGACAGCATCAGTAGCATACACCAGTGAGGAACAATCAATGACATCCACCGGTTCGGTGCAAGCAGCGCTGTCAAAAACATCCCCTATCATCGCACGATCAACACCAGCCGCATCAGCAACATTCTCCAGCTTAATACCATCCACTATCCCAGTACCAACATCCTCAACGGCTTGCTTTGATCGATCAAATTGTACCGCTATCTTGGAATACTGTTACGATGAGCAATTAAAAGAGGCGATGATGAAATATTGCCCGATGTTCTGTGGGTACTGCACCGCTTCATCATTAGCCACATCATCTTTTCCGTCAACAAGGCAGCTATCGTCCACCATCTCTATTTCGGGAATAATATGTTATGATCGATGTAATAATTGTTCCCCATTTTTGGAATACTGTCGCGATGAACGTGTGAAGGATGTGATGATGGTAGAGTGTCCATTGTCTTGTGGGTTCTGCAGCGTTCCGACGTCGACCACATCATCTCTTCTGTCAAGAAAACTGTCATCTTCAACCATCTCTATTTCGGAAACGAGTTGCTACGATCGATCGGATTGTTCCGCATTCTTGGAATATTGTTACAGTGAGCGAGTAAGGGAGGAGATGAAAAGACATTGTTCATTGTCTTGTGGATACTGCACGGTTCAGTCATCCTCCGCATCAGTTTCACCGAATCCCCAGCTGCTGTCGACTACTTCTACGTCAGAGGTGATGTGCTATGACAAATCCGATTGTTCCTCACTTTTGGAACACTGTTACGATGAACGATTTAAGGGGAATATGATGACAATTTGTGCAAGATCTTGTGGATACTGCACCCTTGAATCATCAACGGTGTCAATTGTTCCATCGGTAACACATCCATTCTCTACCATTTCTACCTCCAAAACGTCCTGTTCCGATCGATCTAATTGTTCCTTATTTGTGCAATTCTGTAGCAATCAAGACCTTATTGATTTGATGATGAGCGATTGCGCTATGACTTGTGGATTCTGCACTTCTCAGCCATCCACTACCATCTCCACCTTCCTCACCGCACCTCATCAAATATGCAGGGATACTTCCAACTGCGCCTCATTCGTGGACTATTGTAATACACCGGCACTTATAGACGAATTCAGAACTCACTGTGCAAAAACATGCAGTTTTTGCACTAATCAACCAGTCTCTTAAATTACGATCTGCTTCACCCTTATCTTGCAAAAATACATTAGATTGTTCCACAGTTATTAACCAATATTATCTTCCTTCACGTAGGCGATCTACGAATGAGTACTGTGCGAGATCACAGGGCTTGTTTGTGATGTAAATGTGAGTTTTTGCTGATAGGCTGCATATTTTGAACGGACGCTTAGTACAAGCGATGGAGTAAAAATGCAGAACCGACTTTCATCAATTTATTGTGTATTGTTTTTTGTGCTTTAATTACGCATTCTTGGTATCATGTTAGGAAATAAATTATGTTGCATAGATCATGCCTTACCGATCAGAGCACTGAAATTTGTTGATGGACTGAACAAATCTTTACAGCGAGTTGTTGTGAAAATGTTTGAATGAATCAGTTAGCATTGGGATCGAAAAATTATCGTCATATGACCGCAACATTTCAGTTTGATGAGGTGGGAAAAAATCCCTCCGAAGTAATAGATAATGTACTTACTTCTCAGTCACCCATTCATAAGAGTGTTACTGAAGTTTTGACAGCATTCATGGTCCGCGTCTTCAAACTGGGGATTACAGAAAAATACAACAGTAATAAAATGTCAAATGAAACGAATTGAAAATAATCTTGCGAAGTTTGAGAACTAATTATTCGGTAAACAACGACTGTACTCTGGTTGCTCTCGAGAATAATTGCCGTAGTACGGCTTATCAATGTCCACAGATAAGAATCGATGGAACATCTGTGTTCCAACATAACACAGTGAGGTTGACTAATTCTTGACTGTACGATTGAAGTATTACTGGAACTGTTTAACTGGCTTTGAGCAGTGTTCAAGTCCAACGAATAATTTCAGGGAAATATAAAATTTATTTGAATGAAGAATCAATTGTGTAACAAATAGTTCAAGCAACAGTGGTAATATATACTAAGTATCGCATCATAACGAAATTATCAGTCTAATAAAACAATGGTCACAATAGAATATCGCATATAGCAGAGGCGAGGTAAGCTAATTCGGGGCTCAAATACATTACATTAACATTTACATACCAATCGCAAGGACGAAATATATGAAGAAAATTTTACTGCATGTCACCTACGAATCACGATAAAAAACTTGAAAGATAAAGTTTATTTCCTTCTGAAGTTTAGAACACGGTACATTTGTTGGAATGATTGTCTTTGTTGAATGATTTAATAAAAATTTTCAATTGTTTAATGTCACAATGACGTTTTTCCCACATAAATAAGTGGTGGAATTGCAAATTTTGGAAATTTTGAAAGTAGTGACAGCGAATAGCGCACTAATTTTGCTCAACTAGCGGATCAGCGATAGCGCTTCGCTATTTTTCTGGCGATGATACCGATATCGAATAGCGGTTTTAGGAAGGCAGATCAGCGAATGTGCGCTATCGTTTTTCGATAGCTTGTCAATCTCTAGACAAATCCCCTCAACATTCATTGCACTTCTCCGGCCCGCCGAATCGGTAGTGAGCACCTTCTCGCAAAATCGCCAGGAAGTAACGACAGTGGCAAACCTCGTTAGAGGACCAAAGCATTAATTTTACCGACTTATCCATATATTGAAAATATCCGAATTTTATGTTAGATGATCAAATTGACACTCAAAATTTCGTTGAATAAGGTACCTAACGTATTCAGAAAATAAAGTAAGTCAAAAATTCATTGCTTTCACTTTGCCCCTGATTCTGATCAAATGAAGATTGATTAGGTGATTCACTGAATGAAAAATTTAAAATGGTTGATCAAAAACTAAAAAACGAATCTGGCGATCAAACTGCGAAAAAGAATAGAAAAAAGACAAAAGTTGTCAATGATTGTGAAAAGATGATCAGATATTGATTGATGACGTAGTTAGAGGATGCAAGTTATGGTGTTCATTAGTGAATGAAAATGGACGGCATAAACAACAGAACGCTGGGATACAATAAAACATAAACGAAAACATGACGAAAAAAGATTCTCAATCTCTTATTAAATTCTTGACATCCAATAACCCACCTCTAAGCGCTTACAAACAAGCAGCGTCTAGTGTCTCTGGTAGAATAAACGAGGCTCACTGTCCGCTAAAGCACCCAGCAAAAAATGGCTATTTAAAGCAAATTTGCGGATTACAACAAATTAAATGCAGGCAATTGGATTTGAGGACTCATGAACAGAGAAATCCGAATGCACAACAAGAACAGTCAATATATTCATCATTTTGAACTTTAATGTGTTTGCATGATTGGTGGAGGTTACATAAATTCAATTGAGTGCAGATCGAAGGCGAATAAAGTAAACTCTTTTATGTCAATAAATTGAGCTGAGTACGTTCAGTTGAATACAACGGATTAATGAATTGTGTTTACATAATAAAGATCATTTTATGAACGTGAAGTAGAGTTTACACTAATGATAAGATTACGTGACAACATTAAATCACTGATTTATTGATTGCTTCACTTTTTCGGTCCAGTCAAACGGATTCCACAGTTTCTTCAAATGATCACAATTTTTTTTCTGCTCATCAGTTCCAATCTTTTCTGGCCTTCTCCAGCGCTTATGATCCAAATCCAACATACCACCAATTATTTCCTTTAGCAACAAACGTTATTATGAAAAAGAACACTAATATTGCATAAATTGTTTGTTTAAATGTTAAGAAAAGAAAAGTTGTCATAAATTCACTCTCGGAAGATGAGATTTGCTGTTCAAATGAAACGAACATAACGTTTTATAATGAATCAGAAAAAGCGGATTCAATTAAATTTGCAATGCAGTTATTATCAGTAGAAATTTAATTGGAAAAATCTTTTGAACAGTTCAGAAAATGTTATAAAGAAGAAATTTGGTTATGTGGAACCAGTTCTGAGTTTATATTTTATGTTCCACGAATCAGATCTACATCTACAATTGCATATATACTTACATATGAACAGATAGAAATAATGGAGAAATAATGAATTGAAGAAGACAATAGGGAATGAGTAGATTGCATGTTCTCATTTTTGTGGATGTTATTCACTGCGACAGTTCGCAGAGGAGTGACTTCCATTCGCGTAAAAAAAACTTGTAGAAAGAAACGAAATAGAGTTTTCTTGAACGATTCAAAAAAACCGTTCTAATAATGAATGAAGCTTCAAATTGCCACTAACAAAATATGGTTGTTTAGCATATTCATTTATAACAATTAATTCTTCTATTATTTTGCTCGTCATATAATTATAAACACAAGTATAATTGAAAAGCAAATTAAATTAATTGGCAAGAAGAAGTAGTTGAAAATATGATTAATGACATAATAATATAATAATGAAGGTGAATATAATAATAAAAGTAAATGAATAAATAATAAAAATATCAAATCAAAACATAGAATAAAAACAAATCAAAAAACAAATGAATAGAATAAAAACGCTTACGTGAGCGAAGTTCGTGGGAAACTTGTTATGATCTTCGATAACATGTGCGTAGCCGGGTTGTAAACCAAAATCGATAGAAAAGTACGAGAAGCCTTTGGGAATAATTTTACGAATATCGCCGTTATATTTACTCAATTCGATCAATTTTTTGTTATCACACCATTCCCCTTCACTCTCGTTTATTGCTTTCTGTAAGATCACTTAATGAAGTATAATACTTCTTTGATAATATTATCACTTCAAAAAAATCAATATATCATATATCATATATATCATAAAATATCAATATTCGATATATTGTACAACTTTGACGGTAAAAAGCTCATTTTAAACAGTCAGTGGTCTTGTAAACTTTCTGCATGGTAACAATAACTATAACATAAATAATATGTATAATCCGAAATGCTCGTAATGTAAATATTTTTATTTGATATTTTATTTACAAATCAAAGTTGCTCAGAGTAAATGTTTCATTACCGAATATCGAAATCTGACTTTACTGGAGATGTGTAGAATAAAAATTGCTTATAGAAGAATATATTCCAAAATGCAACCTTAAAGTAAATTGGCGCTGTTTCACCAATCTCGATTGGTAATGGAATACACTCAATAAAAGTATGTCCAATATAATTGTCATTTTTTGTCATTTCAACAAATACACAATCCATATCTTGCGATTTCCACATTGCAACGAGACCCTTCAATTGCACATCATTTGATTATTCATTCGTTCATCAATGCATCGCGCATTTGTTTATTGTATATTCATTCAATGATTAGTTACGATTTGATTTTCGATAGTTTCAAGCTATCGAAAATTTTTTGAATGAGGTAACTTCTTTCATCGCCAGATGAAAAATCCAAACAAGCAGGTTCATAATATCACTAAAAAAGTTTGATCTGTCATTTTCATATAAAAATTTTCGAAAAAGATAAATTGCTGCATTAAAAGACAGAAGAATTTTTCTGTAAACAATTCTGATCTAAACAATATTGCTGAGCGCTAAAACAATTCCATTGAATACTTTTCTCCAAATACGCATTTCATCATAAACGTCTTCGTCCAATGTAACAGTCGATGAATAATGCCCCGACGGCAATATGATGCTATGACCTTCAACCAAAGGACGCCATGGAACCGTACACAGATAGGTCTGAAAGATGTAGACGGTCAAAGTACTGACAAGGAAAGATTCAAATAGATTTGAATTTGCATAAGGCCAACTAATGAATTGAAGAGATGCCTCATACCGACTGATACCTTGGTTTTTCTTATCACATTAGAATGGTAGTCATGACCATAATAACCATTCTGATAATGAAATGAAGATGCTTATTATGGACCGATAACGATAAATAGATTTTGAATCAGAGTATGTAATGATAATTAACGATTATCGAATTCACTTATATCAATAAAATAATGAATGAATAAATAAGTGAGTAATTAAAAACCTTGATTCCAATAGCAACTACACAATGTTTGATAAACCGGTGACTGTCTATACATAGAGAGCATGTATCGAGTGTGCGTTGATTAGACTTATAATCTGCAATAAGAACAATCGACTACACATGCATAAATTATCGAATTAATCATATTCATTGAGGATATGATCAGTTATGTTAACGTTAATAATGTAGGAACAAACAAATGTGAGTAGTTTGAAAAAAAATTTCAGAAAATCAGTGAATAAAAGTGAACTGAATTCAAAACAGATGGAAATTCGATTTTAAATTTAACTGATTTTTGTTTAAAGAATCTGATTTTTCAAATTTAACATCTTTTATGAGCCTTCCTGTCTGTAATTCAGTAAGAAAGCACACAATGATTTCAGAAGGAAATTTCAAACATTCTGAGTATGACAGACGGGAAAATTGAGAAAAATGAAATGCGTGCATCGCAAAAAAACTAATTGTAAGGTAAACAAAATAAAACTGCAATAAGATTGATTTACTGCGAAAAATTTTAGGAAAAATTTAACAAGTTTTGACGAACATCATCGAAATGCGTATCGATGTTGAAGGCAATAAATATTTTGAAAAAAAAAAGATATTTTTGAAAATTTAATATAATCACTGATCATCAGTTCAATTCAAACAAATGTAATTATACTTTTGGTCATCTTGAAATGAAGGGTTGTATCATAATTCATCGCATTCCGTCAAAATTCAATTTATTCGGAACAAATTCTGCGAATAATTAAGTACAAATTTCAGTTATCTAAAATTATATCATTTCAAACGATTAATCGAATGAATTTTTCTGACTGAAACGAAGTAATCAAAGAGAGTTTCGTATTTGTCGTTTGTAATGGATTGATGAATGTAAAAATGTTCGAAGCTTAAGCATATGTATAAGTGTAAATGACAGAAATCAGCCTGAGCCTAGATGCTGCTCCAGTAGTAAATCAGCCTAAGCCTGAGTATAGGCTATTCGTACTTCTGAGCTGTCGTTAATTATTTGTTAACCAATTCATATAATGCCAATGATGTATTATCTCCTTCAGAACTGAGTTTACTGAGTGTACAAATGATACACTATCTTTATGAATTTTACTTAATCAGCACATTCAATTCACATTTGTTTCGCTGTATGTGAAACAGCAATGTAGATAAAACGCAGAGTCCATTTTGCTGATCATTGCTTACTATTTATGTCATTATCAGCCAAATGCAAATTTCATTGAACTAATGATATCAGTCACGCGATTATAGTTGTACTGAGAAATGCAAATAATAAAATACGACCACATGTATTCAAAGCGAGTCATTGAACTGCTTGAAATAGTAATGATATTTGGGTAAATGTGACAACGATTGAAGATCAATGTAATTTTATTAGTCAAAATCACATGCGCTCACTAATAATAAATTTTGATACCTTATTAAAATGATTAAATGATCAAACATTAGTAAAAACAATGAATTCTTTGATCAGTTCTGATAGGACGGCTGAAATATAATTGGAAATTTGAAAAGAACATGAAAATGAAACAAAGTTCAGAGAATAATTGCAATAGTATATTTAAGTAATTATGAAGATCGGTGAAGAAATATGTGAATATGAAATGTTTCAGAAGAACACGTTTATCACAGAAGAATATTGAACGAACAATAGGACAATTGTACGTATTTGTTGGGAAGAGGTGCATATAATTGGGTCTTTTTGACGTTGGAATGTCAAAAATGTAATAGTGTTGATAATTAGATGTATTTTGAAGGTTATTTGGAATGTTCAACAATCCAAATTAACAGCAATCAATGCTTAAAACATTACTTTCATAAAGAAGACACATTCAACAAGTAAACTGAACACTCACCTACCAAAAGACAACACTCTCACCATCATCAAAACAACAAACAAAATTAAGGTCTTAATTTTCATTTGTTAATAAAAACTTTGATTTTATTCAAATTAGACAGATCCAAGAATTGAATCTTTTAACGTTAATTGCTCTGGTTAATATACCGAAATACCCATCTGAAGTTTACATTAATCTAAACATTTTCGACAAAACAACCTATTTCCTTATTTTGCGTAGAAAAATAAGTTCTATTTCTTCGAGATTTTCACAGGATAACATCCCCTGAATATCATAAAACTTTCTGCCTTTTCAAATGAAACCCACTGAAAAAAGAGGAAAATTTTCAATCAAAATTACCGCACATAACCACCGACGTAACCAATAACCATTCAAAATTATCCTTTCTTTTTTTCTCTTCAATAAGTTTCAGAGAAATTTTCAAAAAATGTAAACGAGTTTACGAGTTGGTATGCTGTAATTATGATTGCGTGCAATGCACGGTAAAATTCAATCCAATTGGTCGCGCATCTTCATTACATTTGAAGCAAACTCTCATGAAAAACTTTCTATCGGTTGCTGTCATTCCGTTGCGTTTAAGAAGCATTTTTCAATTCTCCGAAACGGTTTTTCATTTATCGGTGAACATTTTGTTCTGTTTGCATTGGCGCAGTGGTTTCGTTCTGTTCAATTTAGAGGCACATCAGACGATTCCTCGATTGAACGAAATGCGTTCTAGACAATAGTCACACTATACGTTTTACTGTACTGAAGAACACCTTAATTAATTTACGTTTTCTGGAGTGGGTAGTTGAAAATAAATTGATTAAAATAGTAGAGTCAGTGGCCGCTATTTCTCGATTCGTATTCGATCGTTACAAATACTTTCAAGCTGTACTTCTATTTCAAGAGAAACGTAAATAAATAAGTTTCATCGTTTCATCACTTATATTCTAATAAGTATTCATAATGTAAACTAATTTATGAAGCAAATACACGCGATTGCTGTGTTGTTAAGAGGCGGATCTTAATAGCGTTCTCAAGATGATGATCATATAAAAAGGACAGAATCACAAGTGAATTATATTTGTTGTTGTTGTTACAAACGAACATTTCGTTACATGGTTTATCATTGACAAATAATATCGCTGTTGAAAATGTTGAATGTTTATAATAAAAATCTGTTCATAACAATGCTCATTGTTATTATCTATAATTCATTAAATGAAGTTGAATCAACAACTGAATGGTTCGGTGATTTACGTGCACATATGAATCCGGCTAAATCACCGGCATTTTCAGATATCATTTATGACGAAATCGGTTCGTTTATTCACTTATTCATTATCTTTCAGTTTTGATGACAGAATGAGAATGATTTCTTAAAATTACTGCTTTTACAAGTTGTTGATGATGAATCTTTTTCAGTAGATGACAAAACCTGAATCTACGATTACTGCACTCATTTATATTATTGTTATTTTTTAATAATAATTATTATTGTTATCATTATTATTATTATGCTTGCTATTTTTATTATTACAGTTATCACCATTATTATTATCTGTATTATTATTGTTATTATTACTGATATTATTTTTATCACTATTATTACCATTGTTATCATTATTATTACTATTATTATCATCAATATTGCTATTACTATCATTACACTTCAGTGATAAACTGAAACGAACTAAAGATTTTCGCAATGAGTAGAAAATTCAATGAAATGATGAAATCAGAAATTTTCGGTTTAATAAGAATTTTTTGAATTTACTCTTCTGCGCATTTCTCGTGATAATGTTCAATTAAAAATGCGCGTTTCGGGTGGATAGCGTTTGGTAATATTTAACGAGATATTTCATGGTAATAAAGTCGACGTATAAACAATCTCGTTAACGAATCATGATTTCATTTCAAGTTTTCTCGTTATATCTGTTTAGATTTCATTCCTATTATATCAATATTACCATTTAATAATCCTGATTTTGCAAGTATTTGCTCATTTCAAGAACCCATAAAACAATAAATGATGATGGGATCTTCTAAAACCAAATGCAAATGTAAATCGGATAATCCAAAAGAAATAACTTGAAGAATGTCCACTGGGAATGGAAAGCGATGCAATCCCAGAATATGTTTATTTTGGTTCAATGGTATCAACAATGAGTGTATCGAAGCACGTTGATTGTCTGAATTTTTGCATTCAGAATCCAAGATGTGTGGCAGTTAATTACTTTGAACCTATGGCATTTCAGGTCATTCATTTGAAACACAATTCAAAATAACAATAAAAACGGCATTGAATATTATCAACATTTGAATTATTCATAAATTTCCAAAAAAATTTCCAAAACAAATCCGATTTCATTGTTTTGCGATCGAACTTTTTTTGCATGGTTCATTCAGTGAATTTTTTGGGAAGCAAAAAATTTAGAAGAGAACAAAAAAAATTCTATTTATATGCGATTTTTTGTTGATGTGATCACATCATTTTAAACAACTAATTGAACTTTATTTGAACAAACACTGATTTTTCATAATTCACTGATCGCCACAAATAAATTGATTGCATGGTTCAAGATCGTTCAATTTATATGAAACAATTCGATTAAAACTTTCACACGAAAGCATTTTCTTCATGAATGAAATTTTTTCATGAGATTTCTTTCGAAGCTGCCATTGAAAATCTAGAGCATCAATGACAGGTATGCTGCACAAAAATCGCCAGTCAATCAGTTTTGCTTTCCATTCTGCAGGAAAGAGGATTCTGTGAACTTTTATCAGAAAATCAACTGGATAACCCTCGTTTAATGCGTCCATTCAAGAAGGCCGTTTATTATGAAAATATCAGATGTCACTTAGACGATTCTGCAGATGAGGCGCAACAACAAAAATTCATCAACGTTCGACCTCGTCAGTTATTTGATTGTTGTTTCTTTTCTATTTCAAAATTACACTTCGAAAATTATTCATTACGAGATAATTCATTACCGCGCTGTG